GCTAGTGGTCTGTCTATTTTGTTGATCTTTTCAAAAAACCAGCTCTTGGATTTATTGATTTTTTGAAGGGTTTTTCGTGTCTCAATCTCCTTCAGCTCAGCTCTGATCTTAGTTATTTCTTGTCTTCTGCTGGGTTTTGAGTTTTTTTGGTCTTGGTCCTCTAGCTCTTTCAATTTTGACGATAGGGTGTCAATTTTGGATCTCTCCATTCTCCTCATATGGGCACTTATTGCTATATACTTTCCTCTAGAGACTGCTTTAAATGTGTCCCAGAGGTTCTGGCACGTTGTGTCTTCGTTCTCATTGGTTTCGAAGAACTTCTTTATTTCTGCCTTCATTTCGTTGTTTACCCAGTCAACATTCAAGAGCCAGTTGTTCAGTTTCCATGAAGCTGTGCAGTTCTGGGTCTGTTTCTGAATTCTGAGTTCTAACTTGATTGCACTATGGTCTGAGAGGCTGTTTGTTATGATTTCAGTTGTTTTGCATTTGTTGAGCAGTGCTTTACTTCCAATTATGTGGTCAATTTTAGAGTAGGTGTGATGTGGTGCTGAGAAGAATGTGTATTCTGTGGATTTGGGGTGGAGAGTTCTGTAAATGTCTATCAGGTTTGCTTGCTCCAGGTCTGAGTTCAAGCCCTGGATATCCTTGTTGATTTTTTGTCTGGTAGATCTGTCTAGTATTGACAGTGGAGTGTTAAAGTCTCCCACTATTATTGTGTGAGAGTCTAAGTCCTTTTGTAAGTCCTTAAGAACTTGCCTTATGTATCTGGGTGCTCCTGCATTGGGTCCATATATGTTTAGGATCGTTAGCTCTTCTTGTTGTATCGATCCTTTTACCATTATGTAATGGCCTTCTTTGTCTCTTTTGATCTTTGTTTCTTTAAAGTCTATTTTATCGGAGATGAGAATTGCAACTCCTGCTTTTTTTTTGCTTTCCATTTGCTTGGTAAATCTTCCTCCATCCCTTTATTTTGAGCCTTTGTGTATCCTTGCATGTGAGATGGGTTTCCTGGATACAGCACACTGATGGGTTTTGGCTTTTTATCCAATTTGCCAGTCTGTGTCTTTTGATTGGTGCATTTAGTCCATTTACATTTAGGGTTAATATTGTTATGTGTGAATTTGATACTGCCATTTTGATGCTAAGTGGCTGTTTTGCCTGTTAGTTGTTGTAGATTCTTCATTATGTTGATGCTCTTTAGCATTCAGTGTGATTTTGGAATGGCTGGTACTGGTTGATCCTTTCTATGTGTAGTGCCTCTTTTAGGAGCTCTTGTAAAGCAGGCCTGGTGGTGACAAAATCTCTGAGTACTTGCTTGTTCGCAAAGGATTTTATTTTTCCTTCACTTCTGAAGCTCAGTTTGGCTGGATATGAAATTCTGGGTTGAAAGTTCTTTTCTTTAAGAATGTTGAATATTGGCCCCCACTCTCTTCTGGCTTGTAGTGTTTCTGCCGAGAGATCTGCTGTGAGTCTGATGGGCTTCCCTTTGTGGGTGACCCGACCTTTCTCTCTGGCTGCCCTTAGTATTCTCTCCTTTATTTCAACCCTATTGAATCTGACGATTATGTGCCTTGGGGTTGCTCTTCTTGCGGAATATCTTTGTGGTGTTCTCTGAATTTCCTGCAATTGAGTGTTGGCCTGTCTTGCTAGGTGGGGGAAATTTTCCTGGATGATGTCCTGAAGAGTATTTTCCAGCTTGGATTCATTCTCTTCGTCCCCTTCTGGTACACTTATCAAACGTAGGTTAGGTCTTTTCACATAGTCCCCCATTTCTTGGAGACTTTGTTCATTCCTTTTTGCGTTTTTTTCTCTAATCTTGGTTTCTCGTTTTATTTCATTGAGTTGGTCTTCGACTTCAGATATTCTTTCTTCTGCTTGGTCAATTCGGCTATTGAAACTTGTGCATGCTTCGCGAAGTTCTCGTATTGTGTTTCTCAGCTCCTTTAATTCATTCATATTCCTCTCTAAGTTATCCATTCTTGTTATCATTTCCTCAAATCTTTTTTCAAATCTTTTCTCAAGGTTCTTAGTTTCTTTGCATTGATTTAATACATGATCTTTTAGCTCACCAAAGTTTCTCATTATCCATCTTCTGAAGTCTAATTCCGTCATTTCGTCACAGTCATTCTCCGTCCAGCTTTGTTCCCTTGCTGGTGAGGAGTTTTGGTCCTTTCTAGGAGGCGAGGTGTTCTGGTTTCGGGTGTTTTCCTCCTTTTTGCGCTGGTTTCTTCCCATCTTTGCGGATTTGTCCGCTGGTCGTCTGCGTAGTTGCTGACTTTTCGATTGGGTCTCTGAGTGGACACCCTGAATGTTGATGATGAAGTATTTCTGTTGCTTGGTTTTCCTTCTACCAGTCTAGCCCCTTCGCTGTACGAGTGCTGAGGTCCGCTCCAGACCCTTCTTGTCTGGGGTGCACCTCTAGCAGCTGTGGCACAGCGAGGGATGCTACCAGTTTCTTTTTCTGCTATCTTTGTCCCAGGATGGTGCCTGCGTAATGTCAGTCTTTTGGATATAGAGGGGTCAGGGAGCTGCTTGAGGAGACAGTTTGTACTTTATAGGGGTTTAATTGCTGAGCTGTGAGCTGTGTTGTTCATTCAGGGCTGTTAGGCTGCTATGTTTGATTCTGCTGCAACAGAGCTCATTAAAAAAACCCTTTTTTTTCTCAAATGCTGTGTTGAGGGGTTTGGGCTTTATTTTTGGATGTCCGTTGAGGTCCTGCCCAGCTAGGATGCAGACTAGCCACTGTTTGCCTGCCGAGGCTCTGCCCTGCTGTTGTGAGGCTCGCCCTGGCTCCGCTGTTCTGCTGTTCTCCGCCACGCCCTGCAGCAGTCTCTCTGTTGTAGCGGGTTGCCTCGGCGACGGCAGGCTGCGTCAGCAGTGGGCGTGTATCTCAGTAGGGACGGGTTGCCTCGGCAACGGCTGGCTGCGCCAGCAGTGGGCGTGTATCTCAGTAGGGACAGGTTGCCTCGGCAACGGCTGGCTGCGTCAGCAATGGGCGTGTATCTCAGTTGGGGCGGGTTATCTCGGTAATGGTGGCCGCCCCTCCCCCTCAGAGCGTCTCAGGCCGTCTGCACGGGGCTTGTTTGAAATCGCGGTTTTGTTCGTCCCACTGGGCCAATCCTGACGCTCTGTTCCTGCAATCCCCTGGGCTGGCCCACTGTTCAAGTCTAGCTCAGTCTCAAGTCCAGCCCTCTCACGTCTCCAGTTGCCGGTTCAACGGGGCACCCAGACAAGTGCACCCTGTGGGGAGCGCTGGGTAGGGCCGGCCGCCGCCACCCCGGCTGCCGGCTTCACCAGGCGGAATATCTGCCTGGCGTCCCGCGTCTCCTCTTCACTTGGGAATTTCCCCGTTCCATGAGCAACAAAGATCAGTCTGGAAATGCAGCTCAGACTCACCTCTCCGCAGACACAACGAGAACTCCAATCCTGGGTTGTTCTCACAGCGCCATCTTGAGTCCTCCCCCCTCTCTGTATCGTTTTTAAGTTAGCTTATTCTTAGGTTTGGCAGCTTGTGGTTGTTTTTGTTTTGTTTTCAGAGTTTTGCTCTTATTGCCCAGGCTGGACTGCAGTGGCATAATCTTGGCTCACTGCAGCCTCCACCTCTCAGGTTCAAGCAGTTCTCATGCTTCCGCCAGCTAATTTTTGTATTTTTACTAGAGGTGGTGTTTCACCATGTTGGCCAGGTTGGTCTCAAACTCCTGACCTCAAGTGATCCACCTGCCTCGGTCTCCCAAAGTGCTGGGATTACAGGCGTGACCCACTTCCCCCAGCCTGGATTACTTTTGTTTCCAAGATCACAGGTGTGAGCCACTGCACTCGGCCAGGTTCGGCATTTTGTTGTCCCTTTTGACTTCAGTAGCACATTGGGCTTATTTATATATTATTCTTAACTACCTCTGCAGAATCATACTTGATTGTAAATAGCTTATACTTAAATACGATTGTTTTACCGAATACATTAGTCTACATGAGCCAGCATTGTAACCTTGTTAGAACTTCCTGTGAACTTCTGTGTTGTTTACTGCCAGAAAAATGTAGGAGGGTTAGCACATTTGGAAATGTGCTAAGTACTCCTAGGTAATTTATTTAGAAATATTGCTTAAGATTACTTTTGGCTGACTCTAGGCACACTGCCTATGAGTTAGCCCTGCTAAAAGAAAAAAAAAGATTCATTTTTAATCTCTCAAGGGTGGATTCCCGATTTTAGAAAGAACAAATAAATGAAAAGGTTAGTTTTTAATGCAGATCTTTCAGAGAACTCATGACAGGTACTTGTATACTCAGTCATTCTTTATAAATACCCAGATTTGTATTAGTTTTTAAACTTCCTAATTTAGATCCTTGCCGGTTGCTAAAATATTTTCTAGGAAACCTTTAGATAGCTATTGAGGTTACCTTGGGAGCTGTGGCTACCTATTGAATGCTAAAACATTGTCTTTTTCTGATTTGGCAGATATCAACAGATTATATTGAGAACATTATTATATTGGCTGTCAGTAAACCCTTTTTCATGAGATTTCAGACATGTGGTGGGAGAATAGACTCTAGCCTTCAAGCCTACTCTTGAACTAGAAGGACCAAGTTGGTTATAACTGTCATATATCTGTTCATGCTTTGGAGCCCAGTTGAAGGCATTTGTTTAAAGTGCCATTGTAAAATCCATCTTCAGCTACTGGCATTTTTTTGGTATCTTGTGATTTCTCTGAAAATTAAAGTAGCATGAAATCACATAATAGAATAAATAAATGAAAGTTTAAAAAGATTAATATAAATGTAAAACCTCCTCAAGCTGTATAGAAAACGGAAGCTATAAAAGCTTTGTAAATTCTTCCTTTCATATCAGCAATGTGTGATTTCACTTTACATGCTTGATTTCATCACCAATTTATTTATAGTCCTTTGAATATAGAATTTATTTATATACAAAATTGATGTAACAGCTATTTTATCAACAAGAAATTCTGATTTTTGTTCTTCAACATGATTGCACTTCATTCTAGCCATGAAAATAAACCGTATGTTCCTAGTCCAGTACAAATGACAAGAAGGAAATTTCAAAAGGCTAAGCCAAATTTGGCAAGAGCACAAAGCAAGAAAGAGGAACCAGTTTTAGAAAAAGGTGCAACAGATCAGAGCAAGGCAGGCAAGCCAGAAGATCATTTGCTGCAGAAAGGAGATTCCAACACCCAGTTCCTTCTAAAAGTAAGTTTGGGCAAAAAAAAATTTTTTTTTCTCAATGAGGTCTATTTTGTCAAGGTCATGAAGAGCATGAGTAAAATATAATTTTGACTTTTTTGCTGTAACCATTATGAAAAGTGACTGACTCTCTAGTATTGTAAAAAGTGACTGATTGCTTGTATATATGTGTAAACTTAGAGGTTTTGGCCCAAGTGCCAAGCCAAATTAACATAGAGATTTTTTTCTGTAGTAATACTAGCTAATTTCTTCTTACATTTAAGGAAAAAACTGAGCTGCTGACATCTCTGGAGGTTTCAGCAAGAAAAGATTATGTAGGTTCTAAAGAGTCTGCTTTGGCAAAACTAGATGCTGAATTAGAAGTTGGACCATCAAGAAGGGTTGGAGAGGAAACTGTAGGAGATAATTCAGTATCTTCAGTTGTTCAAGAGCAGCTCAATAAACTAACAAGGTAACATTTTATTTACAAAAACTTTCACAATAGGAAATAAAAATCACTTAACTTTTACCTTAACTTACTGGTAGAATGAAATTTCTGGATATTGAGTCTGTTAGACTTGGGTAGAAACTTGACCAAAGAGGGGTATGTATTAGCTAAGTAATTAGAGTGCTCATTCAAATGGAGTCACAGACACAAATGAAGAATACCCTACTGCTGTAGTTGTTAAAGAAAATGGAAAGAAACTTAAGTTGTAGAAATTAGCACTGCTCTAGTGGGTTTCTGCTGCCTTTTTCTTTTAACCTAATCTGTTTACCCAATAGAATAAACAAATATTACTTTTTGATCTCATATTCTGTATTTATTTGTTCTGTGTCTTTTTTTTTTTTTTGAGACAGAGTTTCACTTACTCTTGTCGCCCAGGGTGGAGTACAATGGCAGCTCACTGCAACCTTTACCTCCTGGGTACAAGCGATTCTCCTGCCTCAGCCTCCCGAGTAGCTGGGATTACAGGCGTGCATCACCACAACAAGCTAATTTTTGTGTTTTTAGTAGAGATGGGGTTTCACTGTGTTGGCCAGGCTTGTCTCGAACTCCTGACCTCAAGTGATCTGCCTTTCTCAGCCTCCCAAAGTGCTGGGATTACAGGCATGAGCCACTGCATCCTGCCAGTTCTGTGTCTTTTAGTTCTTTTTCTTCTAATCATTTTCAGTTTTGTGTTTATTTTATTTCACGTTCATATTACAGGAAAGAATGACCCAGAATTAAAAACTTACTATGAAAAATTTGTAGGTAGATAACTAAGAATTAACTCTGAATTATAAACTAAGTAGTAGTTAATTCCTTTTTATTTTCACAGCATAAGATTTTAAAAGAATGAGTGGTGGGAATTTTCATTTTAATGACTGGAACTGGAATTTCACTCTAAAAGTTTGGTTTTCATTAAAATTATCCTTGTGTGCATATGACCTTATTGTTATTTTGATTAAACATCTAGCTGTCCACAACCGTTAAAAGAATCAAATTACTCAAAAATTGCCCCAGATGGGAAAGCCACTATCTCTTCTGCATCAGAGTATGAGAGAAATCATGGTGAAAGGAGGATGCCTAGAAAGATCAAACCAAATGTCACCAGAGGTCGTGGATCTAAACGAGTTCGGGGTAAGAACTCTAAGAAGGAACCTAGAGCTCCCAAGGCCATGCTGGTGACTCTTCGGGCTTCCCAGGAAGAAGAAGATGATGCTGATGATTTCGAGTCTGACTATGAAGAAGAAAGCTATCATCTTGCTCCTGAAGAAGTAAACAAAGCTCCAGTGTTTGTACCTGTTGGTCTCAGATCTCCGGAACCTGTTTCTGCTCAGATTGAGGAAACAATGGAAGAGGTTCGTTTTTTTTTTTTTTTTTTTTTTTTTTTTTAATTCTTGGTACTTTGTCTTACTTGGCTTTCACTTCTTGTTTCTTTTAGGAGATCATTATTTCTTCTCTTAGTGATTATTAGGATTTGAACAGTTCATTTTCTAAGTAACTTCTACCAAATATAATTTGGGGCCTTGTGATTGCTCAGCCCCTGTGGCCCAGGCCCCAAGGGAGTCAGTATAACCAGCAATGAGAGAAATCTGCTTACACTTGTACCTGTAAGCTGCTTAATCTACTTTCGGATTAATTTTTCAAACACTTTGGCAGGTGTTTTCTGGTTGATAGAGAAGGTAGAAGGGACATACTTGTTTTCTTTGGCGTTGGGGCTCACACCTGTAATCCCAACACTTTGGGAGGCCAAGACGGGCGGATCACCTGAGTTCAGGAGTTTGAGACCAGCCTGACCAACAAGGTAAAACCGTGTCTCTACTGAAAATAGAAAAATTAGCCAGGCATTGTGGCAGGCATCTGTAGTTCCAGCTACTTGGGAGATAGAGACAAGAGAACTGCTTGAACCCAGGAGGCGGAGGTTGCAGTGAGCTGAGATTGAGCCACTGAACTCCAGTCTAGGCAACGGAGCAAGACTCTGTCTCAAAAAAATAAAATAATAAAATAAAATTGTGCTAAAATACATGTAACATAAAAATTACCATCTCTCTATTTTTGTTTTGTTTTGTTTTTGAGACAGGCTCTCACTCTGTCACCCAGGGTGGAGTGCAGTAATGGGATCTCAGCTCACCACAACCTCCACCTCTCAGGTTTAAGTGATTCTCCTGCCTCAGCCTCCTGTAGCTGGGACTATAGGTGTGCACCACCATGCCTGGCTAATTTTTGTCTTTTTGGTAGAGTCACAGGTTTACCTTGTTGGCCAGGCTGGTCTTGAACTCAGCCTCAAGCAATCCACCCACCTTGGCCTCCCAAAGTGCTGGGATTACAGGCACGAGCCACCATCTTAATTCATTTTTAAGTGTACAGTTCAGTGGCATTAAGAACATTCACATGTACACGTTCTCATGCTGTCATCATTACCATGCATCCACAGAATGGATTAATTAATCTTTTTCAAAATTAATTTAGAGATGGGGTTTTGCTGTGTTGCCAAGTCTGATCTCAAACTCCTGAGCTGATGCAGTCCTCCCACCTTGGTCTCCCAAAGTGCTGGGATCATAGGCATGAGCTACTGCATTCTTTTTTAGGATGATTAAGACATCCCACAATAAATGATTGTCCCCTAGTCTGGCAAAAAAACAAAAAAAAAAAAAAAAAAAAAAAAAAAAACAAGATAAAAGCTACAAACACCCAACACCTGTCCTGAGAGCCCCAGCCCTGTCCCGTCTGGCCTGGTCACTCCCTGGTAACTTCCAGGTCTGCATTGCACCCCTTGCGAACTCTTCATCTTGTTAAAAACCGAAATTCTATGCCCATTAAACACTAACTTTCCATTCCTTCCACCCCCTAGCCTTTTGCCAACCACTTTCCTACATCTTCTCTCTGTGAATTTGACTCCTCGTGTAAGTGGAATCATACAGTATTTTTTTTTTGATGACCATTTTATTTCATTTAGCATAATGTTTTCACAGTTCATTTATGTTGCAGCATATGTCAGAGTGTTCTTCATTTTCAAGGCTGAATAATATTCCATTGTGTGTGCATATCACGTTTTGTTTATTCCTTTATCATCAGTGGACACTTGAGTTGCTTCCACCTTTTGGCTGTTAGGAGTAATGCTGGTATAAACGTAGTTGTATAAATACCTCTTTGAATCTCTGCTTTTTACTTTTGGGGGATATGCCCAGAAGTGGAACTGGTGGATCACGTTAATTTTTTTTGTTTTTTTGAGATGGTGTCTCTGTCACCCAGGCTGGAGTTGAGTACAGTGGCGTGATCTTGGCTCACTATAACCTCTGTTCCTCAGGTTCAAGCAATTCTTCTGCCTCAACCTCCCAAGTAGCTGGGATTACAGGCATCTGCCACCACACCCAGCTAATTTTTTTTGTATTTTTAGTAGAGGTGGGATTTTGCCATGTTGGCCAGGCTGGTCTCAAACTCCTGACCTCAAATGATCTACCTGCCTTGGCCTCCCAAAGTGCTGGGATTACAGGTGTGAGTCACTGTACCCAGCCTGGATTTTTTTTGTTAATTCTATATTTAACTTTGAAAGCAACCTTTATACTCTTTTCCATTGGGCTGTATCATTTTACATCCCTTTCAACAGCGTACAAGCATTCCAGTTTGTCTACATCCTCACCAATAGAAGTTACGTTTTAAGTTTTGATAGTAACCATCCTAATGGTTGTGAAGTACAGAAACATATTTAGCTTCCTTACACTTTTGCCTCTCAGTCTGCCATTCCAACTTTGTGACTTCATAGTTTTCTGTTCTGCCTCACTTTTCAGTCACTCCTTTGACTTACTGAGCAGCATATCTGATTCAGTTTTGTGTAAGCATTCATGATAGTCTAAGGCATTTGAAACGAATCAGAGTTAACTAAGATAGTGGTGACAGTAAAAGAAGCAGCAAGAAACATTAAACAATTCATGTTTGAGATAATTAAGGTAAACTTTAAATGTTAATTTAATTCCATTAAGAATTAATGGATCGCCTGAACCTGCAAAGTCACATTTATGAAGGGAAGTATTTTTTTCAGTGTTAATAACCTGTTAAATGTTTTAGAGTAAATGAATTAATAAAATGGTTGAAGATAATTTAAATGATGCAAAATGAGGTTGTTTCTTACAATTCAAAGTAAAGAACAGAGTAAAGAGAGTGAATGTAAGCATTATGTGAATCCAAGAAAATGCAGAAGAAAGGGTAATTTTGTGGAAAGACTTCTGGTTAATGGTGCATGAGAGTTAATTTAGCTATATATTTTGTGTTTTTATTTCTTTGAGTGAAGGCAAATTGCTAGTGAAAACTATTATCAGAAATTAATTTATGAAAATTAGATTCCAGACTGTATTCTTGAATTAATACAGGCTTTCTTCTTTTTAAAATTAAAAAGAAAATTTTTTTTGAGGCAGAGTTTCACTCTTGTTTCCCAGGCTGGAGTACAACGGTACAGTCTTGGCTCACTGCAACCTTAGACTTTCGAGTTCAAGTGATTCTCCTGCCTCAGCCTTCTGAGTAGCTAGGATTACAGGTGCCCACCACCACACCTGGCTAATTTTTTGTATTTTTAGTAGAGAAGGGGTTTCGCCAGATTGGCCAGGCTGGTCTCGAACTCCTGACCTCAGGTGATCTGCCCACCCCAGCCTCCCAGAGTGCTGGGATTACAGGCATGAGCCACCGAACCCAGCCTATACAGGCTTTTTAAATAGCATTAATCATAATAATTGAACAAGGCTTTCCTTAAATTCTGTTCTTTATGACCAGCCTACTAAACAGGGAAATTCATTTATGTGTTAGAAAAAATTTCCTTTAAAAAGCCTTGAAAGGCCAGGGGTGGTGGCCCATGTCTATAATACCAGTGCTTTGGGAGGCTGAGGCAGGAGGATCAGTTGAGGCCAGGAGTTCAAGACCAGCCTGTGCAACATAGCAAGACCCTGTCTCTACATCCAATCATTAAATTAGTCACATGTCTTGGTGCATATCTATAATCCCAGCTACTCAGAAGGCTGAGTGGGGAGGATTGCTTGAGCCCAGGAGTTTGAGGTTATAGTGAGCTACAATTGTGCCGCTGCATTGTAGCTTAGACAACAGTAGGAAACAGAAGTATTGAAATACAATGCAATGTTTTTCAGCCATAAAGGAATATACATTATTGATATGTGTCACAACATAGTTGAATTTTGAAAACCTTATGCCAAGTGAAAGAAGCTAGTTACAAAACATCACATGCTATATGATTCCATTCATATGAAATGTCTAAAATAAGGAAATCCACAGAGACCAAAGTAGATTAGTGCTTGCTTAGGGACTGGGAGATGGGGAAGAAAGGGGTTAAGTAAGAGATAGCTAATGGGTATAAGTGAGGAAAGTGTTCCACATTTGAATGTGGTGATGATTTGCATGTATCTGTGAGAAATATCTTAAAATACATTGAGTTGTACACCTTAAGTGGTTGAATTGTATGTTATGTGAATTACAAGTCTTTTTAAAAAATAAACTGTGCAATGCTTTAAAAAATAAATTACTTTATAGAGTATTCCCTTTTCCCATCCAGTCCCAACTCTTCAAAAAGTATTTTTCATCTCAAATCACCTGAACTTTTAAAATTTTAAAATTATATTTCTTTTTCTTTTTTTTTTTATTTTTATTTCTTGAGACAGGTTCTCACTCTGTTGCCCAGGCTGGAGTGCAGTGGCACAATCTCAGCTTGCTACAACCTCCACCTCTCAGGCTTAAGCAATCCTCCCACCTCAGCCTCCCAAGTAGCTGGGACTACAGGTGCACACCACTATGCCTGGCTAATTTGTTGTTGTTGTTGTTATTTTTGGTAGAGACTGGGTTTCACCATGTTGCCAAAGCTAGTCTCAAACTTCTGAGCTCAAGCAGTCTACCTGCCTCAGCCTCCTAAAGTGCTGGAATTACAGGTATAAGCCACTGCTCCTGGCCTATTGCTTTTAAATTAATTTTTTTTTTTTGGGAGGAAGGCAGGAAGGGAGGGAAGGAGGACGGTAGGGAGGAAGGCAGGGATGAAGGAAGGAAGGAATGGAGGAAGGGGGGAGGGAGGGAGGATGGGAGGGAGGGAAGGGAAGGAAGGAAATCAAGCAATGAGAGAGACATTGCCGACCTGGATCTAGAGGTTTACACGTTGATTTCTTTTTTTTGAGAGAAGGAAAGAAAAAAAAAATAAGTAAAGGAGAGGAAGAAAGAGGAAGAGAAAGAGGGAGAGTAAATGGAAATATTGCTTTATTCTGAAAAAAATTGGGTATTAATAATGGCCAATCACTGTTTCATTTAAACCTATGGGTACGTGTGATGTGGTATTGACAAGAATGTATATTTTGTGTATTTGAAGTGGAGA